ACACACACACACGGGGGTTGTCATGATATGGGTTTTTGCGCTTGCGTATAAGCAAAAACGCATAATCAATGGTGTATATTTCAGGGCTTCGCTCGGTAGGACCAATGAAATTTATTGGGCTTTTGCTGGCATTATGTCGAGCTTTACACTTCTTTTTATTTCGCTGGCTGGGATAACTCGGACGCTGTGTGTTGTTGGTCTCCTTCAGGTCATGCATCGCTCTTATCTCTTGTCTATGTAACTCATTTTTTTAAAAAATCATAATGCATAGTAAAACACAGAGCGGAAAAACTTGGTCAGCTACTTATTTTTTCGCTTCACTAACACTATTCGCTGCAACTGTTGGAAGCGGGGCGCCATTTTGGAAAGAATAAATGAATGGTTTCATAATTACTTTCAGTTAGTGAACAAATGTGTCCATATAGTAAGTTACGTTGGTAATCGTGGTCTGATTGATAAAACGTGGCCAGAACGATTGCAAGACCAAGATCTCTGGTATCATCTTGCTTATCTGTTCATTTGTGCACTTGGATTCTGCATCCATCCGCTGCTTTACGCTCTTCTTGTAAGTTCTCCAAAACTAAATAAAACATTTCAAACCCATTAGTATATATTAGCATATACTAGCAGTTTAAATACAGGAACTTTGGCTACTTAAACGGAGCTAAACGTCTAGAATTCTTATTTGATTTACCAGTTCTCAAGCACTTTTCGAAACTTGACATTTTGAAACTGCGTAGTATAGCTATGCAAATGTACAGTTTTAACTCTGCACAGAAACAGTAGTTTATTGAAGGATAAGGAACAGAGGATGCGTTCACACAAAAATTTTCATACATATGTAAAAAATGCGAAGCCATCTGGTGCTGTTGAGAGGGCTGATTGGTTCATGTGCTACTGGTGCTACGACTAGTCCTGAGTGCGCCCTCGTAATCACCCAAAATATCCAGAAGATTACCGCTCGTTTTAAGTTGCTGAAATGTACATGATGTGATGCGCGGTGCCCTAGCGCAGGTACCCGATTGTCTTTAATCCTGATTAGTGGCGTATATCTGAAGCACTTATCGTTCTAAACTGTTGAGATCCGCCGCATCTAATTTCATCGAATTTTTTTCTCTGCCTTCCTCGTACGGCATTCATGCTATATTTTTTAATACCCTTCTGCATTATTCTTCACAAAAAATATATTTTTGGCAGAAACACATCTGTGTTTGTTTTTTCGTTTATCTGAGTACCTCTCTGTCCCAGTGCATCTACTCCATAATTAGAATGGCTAAGACTGCAGTTCCCAGCCATATATGGAGCTAGGAGCGTGCAGTCAGCTCTAGCGCCTTAGTATATGTTAAAACAAGCAACGATAAAGTTGTACTTCTCCATCTAATGGCTGGGTCAAAAAGCAGTCGTAACAGTACTAAAGGAATTCCTGCTTATTTTGCTGCTTTCAGCTACTATGAATTTAAAGTATATCGCAGAATCGTGGGGTGGTGCCTGCTTCTAGTGCTAGCCATTAGCTGTTGAAGAATATTTTGCAGCTCTTTGATATTGTGGCAAGTGAAGAAACGCTTCGAAGTGTGATTCGTTCGGTAACGCGCAATTGGCAGTCTATTATAATGACTGGATTACTAGCTCTCATACTCGTTTATGTTTTCTCAATCGTTGGTTATCTGTACTTCCAAAGAGGTACCATTGTGCTAATCTGGGATTAAAAATCTTCATTCAGGTTGAAAAAGTTAACAATGAATAAATCACACTGTGTGAAAGGTAAAGGTTTGTAGAAGCAGTTAAGGGTGGTATCACTCTGCCGACAATTGGCTGCAAGCACGATGATTTTTCCAAGCTTTAAAAACAGTTATTATTGCATTTTCAGATTTCCAGTTAGAGGTTGATGAGCTTGACGATACGCAAGATAATGATGGGGTTGCTGCGAATGCGTCACCCTTAACTTGTGACCATGTGGGATCTGTCAGTGCCGAACAGTGTAGCAAAGAAGCTGTTAATTTCGAACTCGAACATTCTCGGAATAGTGATGGTGGGTTGTCGCTTGGTATATTATGCGCTTATCCTAATATTATTTTGTTTATGTCCAAACTAACTGTACCACTGTGTCTGGTACTATCGAGAATTCGGCGAATAATAAATGTTTTATAAATCACGCATTTAAAAATTTCAGCTAGCTGTACTCTCTACAACCTATTTCGCTCTTTATTCTCAGCGCTTTGAAGCCGGGGTTTGGGGGACTGTTTTTGCATTTAAAGGTTTCATCCAGGAACATTTTGAATTGAGACGGAAGTTTTTTTAAATATTTTGTAAAAACGTGCTGTATCGAATTCGCGAGGTTGCTATGATAAGAATGAAAGACAACAAGTTAGTACCTGCCCAAGTTAAAATAGCACAGATAAAACCACCAGTGTATTAGAATCTGTGAAAATGCATGAGTCAGAGAAACCTAAATTATTAGAATAGAGAAGTTGCCAGCTTCATCAGCAGCGAGTAGAAACACAATGAAACAGTGGGTAATCAAGATCAAAGTATGTAAGCGCATAATGGTTTGCTCCTAATGACCAAAATGCTGACTTTTTTGTATTTCAGATGGCGAAGCAAAAGTTTGGTCGTGCCAAACGCTTCGTATGTGTATAATTACAACCTTAAACTGGGGTCTCCGAAATGGTGGAGGCATTGGTGATGTGCTCAGGAATGTTGCGCCACATGTATTCCTTTGCCAACATTTTTTTTTCAACCACTCATTTTTATCAATTGTTACAAAATCAATGTTAATAGAAAAAAAAGTTGTCTTTCAGTTTAACTACCTAAGTCTATGTATAAATATAAAGTTCATGAATGTGTTGCATTTAGAGTTTTAACAAAATGACTATTCGTTTGGAAAACAACTTATGTGTATTTATGCGTTTTATAATAACCCAGGTAGCGACGCACTAGATTTGTCAATGCGATTATGCCTTTTTGCTTAATCCCATTGTGCGCGGAGATCCCCTGTAATATTAAAGTATGACTGTAATGTTGCAATCTGAGCACTTTATGTCCCTGTACATAGTGCTCATCGCTAAGCAGAAGCTTATTTTTCACTTGGTGGTCCGCACATGAACAGCCTCTGAAAAATACTGCTTCCTAGTCTAGTTACCGAGTTATTAGAATGTACACATTGTCCTAAACTAAATTTTCATTTGCGTGCACGCGAGACCTAGACATGCTTTTAAGCTGAATTTAAAATATTTAGCTTATACAAAGGCATAGAACAACCCTGTGAAGTTTTTGTTTTCTATTTTTTCTTGTTTCCGAAAAAAAATTTTTCGTCCCAGAACATTTGTATATTTTCTTTCCGGTGTGCAGACGTGATGTCCAAACGTACGTAAACGATAATTTTAAAATGGAAGGGTCGCAAAGAATGAGAGCATGCTCAAAAGTTTTGATTTCCCACCTTCTCAGGTATAAGCAGCTGATGAGATACGAACACACATACACATAACCTCTTGCCAATATGCGTTTTTTCATTAGCATAAATGAAACAAAGGCTGGAACGCACCAGGCGAGCCGGTACGATCATGCGTTTTTGCATCAAAACTAAAG